TTTATTAAAATTAAAATATTTTAAATTTAAATAAATATTATGTGAATAAATGAATCAGGAAATATAATAAAATTATTTTTAGTATGTAATTTAAATTAAATAATATAATAATAATTTTTTTATTAAAATTAAAATATTTTAAATTTAAATAAATATTATGTGAATAAATGAATCAGGAAATATAATAAAATTATTTTTAGTATGTAATTTAAAATAAAAAATAAAATAATTTATATTTATTAATTAATAAATTCAAATCAATTAACAAATTAATATTTTCAAACATTATTAAAAAAAATCTAAATTTTTGTGACCCTAATAATGACATTGTTTGCGGCAACACAGCACCCCATCATGAATTTAATTAAATTCTCACAGCATCAATCCCAGGATTCATAAGCATGCACTCAACTGGTTCTAATAACCAATCTGACAAACTGAAATTACATCAATCCCTTCGCTCTAGTTTTAACTCAATGGAATGCCCTCAATTGTATAAGCTCTAGTTTTAACTCAATGGAATGCCCTCAATTGTATAAGCTCTAGTTTTAACTCAATGGAATGCCCTCAATTGTATAAGCTCTAAAACCTTTCCTTTTAGACCTGCGAAACGGGTCAGATCAGATAAGCTAAATTGAATCACTTTAAATTTTAAATTTTAAATTAAAGAAATAGACTTATAATCTATCCATATAAATTTTGAACAGGGTCAGGTAGGCCAAAGTTTTTGAAAATTTAAAGTTTTTGAAAATTTAAAATTTTCAATATTTTCTTTAATTTTTTAAAAAATTAAATGTTAACTAATTGTCTAGTAAACAAAATCTGTTAAATTAATATTAACTTTAATAATTTAATAAATAATAAATATTTTATAATATTTAATTTTATTTTTATTTAAAATTTAAATTAAAAATATAATTGATTAAAATTTTAAATTTTAAAAAAAATTAATTAATTTTAATCGAATCACTTCAAGTTAATTAGGTTTAATCTTAACCCAATTCAGTTAAATTTGAATAATTTCAATTTGAGTCATATTAAATTTTAAATTAATACCTTAAATCAATGACTTAATTCATAGTAAATGACTTTGATTGGATCTCTCTGTATGTAAGTGTTTAGATTGAGTCTAATTTTACTAAGTCTGTTTTCTTCCTCATTTGTACTTTTTTAATTTTTGAAGGGTTAAGAGGAAGACAAATGGGATTTATCCAAGACTCGTGTAAATTGAGGAGAATTTGGGAGAGAACAGGGAAAATTTATTATATATAACTCATTGTTAAATATAATATAAAAAATTATTATATATAACCCATGGTATAAGGATCATCCAAGCATCCAACCAGGCCGGATGGGGAAATGTCCCTATTGCTTTGTGTATTTTTCCTCATGTTTCTACGAGTTTTAGTTTTTACTTTTATTTTTTAAGTTCCTATCAATTTTTAATTTTATTTTTAAGAACAGAAAGAATTTTGATATTAGAAAACTTATGAGAAAATTGTGAAATGGATCACACATTGAAAAAGTGAGGAGAATTTTTTTCCTTTAAAAATAAAAATGTACAACAAAAAATTATTTATCAAAAATTATGTTAGAGAATTACCAATATATATTAGAGAAAATTAAAATTAAAATGTTAAGGTTTATTTTCCTTTTTGGTCCCTATACGTTTTTATCGAATTGATTCCCAAACTCGTATTGACACGTGGGCCGTATTGTTAAGTTGGAGAAATTTTTTCCACGTCAGCTTCCTTCCCTCAAATCAATTACCCCTTCTCCAATAACAACAATTTTTTTGTTAACTTTTTCCTTCAATTAAAGATTTATAAATTATTTATATATTTATTTGTATTATTTTTATAAAAAATTAAAAAATAAAAAGGATAATTAATTTGAGATAAATAGAATGTAAAAAAAGGATAATAATTTTAAAAAAGGAATAATAATTTTAAAAAAATATTACGTAATCCAAATTATATTATATTGTATAATACTAATTATTAGATAAAGGATATATCTTTTGATATTAAAGACTTTTGATATTCAATAATTTTTGTTTTATAATACAATATAATTTAAATTATAAAACAAAATTTTCATAAATTAAACTATAAAAATTTCATAAAATACTAAATTATAAAACTAACCTCTTCTCCCTTGTCATTTCTCTTTCTTCTCCTTTCCCTCTACCAGTACCACATTTTCCTCCCTCCGTTTTCCCCTGATCTCTACTGGTTCAAAGCAGCCATGAAAAAACCTTAGATAATGAAAAATGATTGGTAGACACTTAATTTAATATATTTTTTAATTGTTTATTTGGATTTAATTATTAAAATATAATATATATAATTAATTTAATTAATTTTTATGTTTTGTATATATAATTATATTTTTAAATTTATTTATCTTTAATTTTAAATAAAAAATAATTTTTAATAAATATATTATATCATATATTAAAATATAATGTGTATCAATCATTATATTTTGGTAATATATGGGTTCACCTCAATTCTATGGATGAAGCTTCATTTTTTATTTTGATTGCAACGAATAAATACGATCGAGAGGATTTTTGTGCAAAGTCCTGTCAGACAGGTGTTTGGGTTTTCAACTCGTGGTAACCAAATGTATTATTTAAAAATATTATAATTTAGTTACTTATAATTTTTTTTTTTTTTCATTCTCTTTCATGCATATTTTTCAAACTAAATATGTTATATTTAAGATGTATTTGCAATCACTAGAACCTAATTGTAAATGATTATTTTTATATAATTATCTATGAATATAATTTAAGTTTATAACTTGTACTTTTAAGTTATACTTTAATTTTAAGATATAGTAATATATTATAAATATTATAGCTTTTTAGTTAAGATGCACGAGTTAGAAGTTATGATTCACAATAGTTTAGTTTACATCATTTAACAAAAGCTTATTGATCAAAAAGAATTTAGGACTAAATAGTACAAATTACATATCTATACATTTGAGATTTATTCAGAAAACATTAATTGTTTTACATGAATTCATTCATATAATTGTTGATTTATAAATTTATTTAAAAAATTGTTAGCTAATAGATTTATTAAGAAAAATCGTTGACTGTTTTAAGTTGATTGCTGTGATAGTTGAAATGATTTATTAATTAGTTAACATGTATGAGTTGAAGTTATTAGCCGTAAATATTGTTTAAAATAAATATATAATTAAAAAGATTTTAATAATGATGAGTCATATAAATTCATCACATCTTTAGATTTTAGGTTAAAATTTCATTTTAGTCTTCTTTGTTTTAACAAAAACTCTTTTTTTAGTCATTCTACTTAAAGAAACCCCTTTTTAGCTCTTAAAGTTAATTATCTTGCTTTTTTTTAGTTTTTCGGTTTTTTTTTGCACAAATAACTTGTTAAATAACAAAAATTTTAAAGTAAATAGACTAAAAAAAGAGCATTTTTAAAGTAGAGGGGAAAAAAAAAAGATTCTTTTTAGTTTTTTTATTTTGGAATTTTTATCATCTAATATACTAAATGTACAAAAAATAAATAATGGAGGGACTAAATAGGGGTTGGATAACAAACTTTAAGGATTATAAAGGGACTTTTTTAAATAGAGAGACTAAAAAAAATCATTTTGTTAAAGCAGAAGGACCAAAATGGGGTTTTAACCTAGATTTTATTACATAATTGGTTTGTATTTTTGAAGGTTTTTATTTTTTTTAATAACATCAAATAAATGATTTTTTTTTATACATCAAATGATGTGTTATACAATAATAGATAGCCTTTTCTTTTCAAGCCTCTCCCCTATCTATTACAAGATTCAAATTTGAAATTTGTAATATAAATAGTCAAAATTTTAATAGTTGGGGTGTTTCTTTGGGACCATCAAATAAATAATTGTTTGTTAGATCAATTGATTAAATAATTGAGGGATTTTCTAATTAACATATACTCTTAGAGTACAAGTTAAGTCTCATTAATTATACGATTTGTAATTAAATTTGTACAAAATTTCATACCAGATTCAAATAAAATGAAATATAAAATGTAAAAAATATAATATAATATAATATTTATACTCAAAATTTATAAAAAGATATAAATTTGATATAAAAATCTATGTAAAATTAGTTTAAAATATCTTAATTAATGAATTTTAACTTATACGTTTAGAGTATAAATTAGATAAACTCAATAATTAAACCGTATTGTTTAATAATAAAACTTTAAGAGACTAAAGAGTTAACATTCAAAAATCACATTTGAATATGGATCACCATCAACTGTAGGATCAAATTTGAAAGTATATATGAACTCGGCCTCATGAATATAAATTATAATCTTTGTATTATGGAGAATGTAAATTCACTAAATAAACCGCATAATTGCTAAGAGCAATCAAGAAAGAAAATAAACGAAAAATAAAAATGTAACAAAAACATGTATGCGTGCATCCCTTGCCTAATGTGGTTGGGTCAGATCAAGGTCTAAAATGCCTGTATTGGGCCAGTAGCTGAAACCTAGAACCAGAGCAAGCTGGGTTGGAACTTGGATTCTTCGAAGTTTTGAAAGCCCAAAACTAACCCCTTTCTTTTTCTAACGTGTTAAAGCCCAAAAGTATCGAGTGAGAGGAAACATGTCAAGACTAAAGTTATCAATACCACACTACTTGCGTATTGGTTTTATTATTCGGAATTCGGATGGTACATATTGTATTATTGAATAATATTGTGTTATTTTAGATTTATCACTATAATTATGTATTTTATAATAAATCAAATATAAACTTTTACAGTTATACTTATGGATATAAACATACATTATAATATTTATATAGTATTAAAAAGAGAATAAATTATAATTAATTTGTCATAACAAGTAAATCTAAATTCATCACATATAACTCCACCTCCCATTTATCTACTAAAAGACTAAACTTCCTCTAATACTTTAACGTTACAATATTTTCTTCTTCTAATCATTAATAATTTAAAACATGCTATTTCTCTTCTCTGTTTTTAAAACTTTTGCTTTCTCAGTCAACACTTCAATGAAGCTCTGTATTTGTTATTTAAGAGGTTCCTACAATTTTTAAAAATTGTTATAACTATCCTTTCTTTCATGCTCTATATTATTAGGTTTCAAAGAAAATCTACATTTTTCAAGTTCTCCTTTTATTTTGTTGTCTTATTTGAGTATAACTAAAACCATATTTTACGTTACATTTTGCATTTAAGTTTTTTTTCCCCTTTTTTTTGACTTTTTCTATTTATGTGTTATTTATATATACCGGCTACTATGACCGATACAATTGGTATTTGATTGGTACAGCAAGTATTTGATTCAATATAATATTTAAAGTATACCAATGTTATTTTCAAATTAATATATACCAGTTATACCAACCAATACGGTGTGAGATCAATAACTTTGGTTAAGACAAGACTCATGAAGAAATGAATTGATTGGTGCCCGTAGACATAAGAACTGAAAACGTAGGAAATAAAAACATTGGGTTAAGCTTTTTGTTTCAAGAGCTATCACATACCATCGATCAATAAATGACAATAATTGTAAGATGTTAATCTTTATTAGATAAATTTTTTTAAAAATTAGATAAAAGAGACTCCACAATTATATTATTTTAATAAAATATTATAAAAAAATCAATCTCATTGTTACTTTAAATATATATTATTT